TGACTAGCTGCCTTCCCTCTAGTCTTACACTGCTAAATTAGGGACGGCTAGCGCAGATAGCCCTCGTGTAGCTTTGCGCGAAATTCCAAAACAAACAAACAAACCATCCACTACGGCAGCGGTGTGTTGTCCCCGCACCCTCCCCCCCCCATAATTTTTATTTACTTTATTTGTTTGTAGTTTTTTTATAACGTTCCAGTTTTTTGAAAGTTAGTTTCAAAGCCACTAAAACGGGATGTTTATGATTTCACGGTAGAGTCCTTCTTTCGTGACGTCATAATCATTAATCTTTTTAGAGCTACTTCAATCAGTCACACAATTTATTCATGTTGACATACGAACGTGCAGAACCCACTCTGCGCGCTTTTTTTTTTTTGTCATTCACTGCTTGATTTTTTCTGAAATGACAGAGTGGGAACAATCTGTATAAGGAAAAACAGAGTTGATCTTCTTTTTTTTTTTCAAGCTTATCCTAGCCAATCGTGGGGGGTCCGGCACGTCAGAACTAACGATCTCCTATAGTGAACCCACGGTTCCAAAGCGCGTTTTTTGTAGCAACAGCACCCACACCAGCTGAGCTCAGTAACTACAACGTAACAATGGGTATTATACAGAGTCCAGTGCACAACAGGGAAAAAAAAGAGTAGGCCCATTAGTAGAACTCTGAATTTCGGAGCTGGCTGATATACCCACATAGCTGGAGAATACTTTAAACTTAAAGTATAACTATACCCAGGCTAATATAACAGCGATTTATTGAAGACAAACACTTAGCTCACTCATTAGGTCTAACTCATGGAGCAAAAAGTTATTGTTAATTTATTTCCAACTTAAGTATTGTTACTAAGGTAAGAACGGCTATTATCAGACCTGCGTTTAATTCCCCCCCCCCCGACATTTTAAATTTTAGAATGCACCCCACTTCGTTTTACTTACCTGAACGTTAACCCTAGAATAACAGATTGCAACACGAATTTATATTTCTCATTTTTATAAAACGTGTTGAGCGACCTCTATTTTTACTTACCTGTATTAGGAAATTTAAGTGTAAAAGTTGGAAGAATATTCTAATATTTTTTTATTTAACAAATTTATTTACATTTCGCACATCCTTGTATTATCTTTTGTATAACCGTGTAGAACTTTTAAATAATACTATTTACAATAAGACTGGACCTTAAAAGTATAATGATTATGACAGATAATTGAGGGTAATTATTTAGTTTATCATCATTATTTGGATTACACATATAGATGGAAACCCACTCAATATTGTGACTGAAGAAAGGATGTCGGTAAAATGGTGGATAAGTCATTAAATCCATTGAATCAGTGCCCTATTGCTAGTAGTAAGCCTAATAGGATTTTAGGATGTATTAACATTGATATTAATGATAACACAACAGGGATAATTATTTGAATTGAGAAATTAGTAGTCGTGAAAAGTAAAGGTTAAACTTGTCATTTTCTCATGGGTGGTTGTGCAAGGCAGCCTTGAAGAACCAAACGGCCCCTTGTTGTCCATATGATATGTTATAGAATTTGTACCAGCTTATAAAGAGGGGAGTAAAAAACAGTGACTGTGTTACTTTTTATAAATCAAATTTCGCTTGTTTCGTGACGTAACAGCCACTTTTCAGATGCAGACCTCGAGACAAAAATTAAACCCATCTACTTCTCTGTAAGCGTGAGTATAGTATTATATAGAGACAGACAGACATATACAATACTTACATGTTTAAATAATTTCGTGTAGAATTCCAGAGTAAATTACGTAATGATAAACAAACGCGTTGTGGTTGTGACATGCTGAAGGAGGAAAAACTCTTTGGAACATGTTTGTATCCCAGGACTAATGCACGTGAATAGGTAAGTTATATATATATACCCTGAGACAAGAATATATATATATATCGATTTAAAACTTTAAGCTAGAGAGTTTTATCCCATTGGTTATGTTATTCGTTTTTTTGTTTATCGTATTATTATATTATAAATATAGTAGTGATTACCATGGCGACCATGAAATACACCACTTAATAGGCTAACGTTCACTTGTCGACGTCACTGGCCCGTGCAACCTGGCTACTAAAGTATTTATCATTTCACTATTTGGATGTGGCAGTTATCGTGCACAGTATGTATTTCACTAACCTAGTACCTTGGCTTACAGAAATCACATATATTTATACAGTAGTAATGTTGCTGAAATTAGAATGAAAAAAAAAACATCCACGAAGGTTAAACATAGAAAATATATATATACGTTCACTGTTACACTCGGCGGGACAGCGGCTTGTCTGCGGACTTACAATGCCAGAAAACGTGTTTCGATATCCGCAGATCACAGATAGCCCATTGTGTAGTTTGTGCTTAACTTCAAACAACAACAACTGATGATCCTTTCTCTGTTAGCCTCGCCTACTTCATCCGCTGATCTATAAATGTTTTAGTGATCAACGCCGTCTGCTTGTTGGTTTGTCAACAAATATGATAAGCGTAAGATTATTTAACATGGCATGAGAATCTTTCAAGGAGTTTTGTGTAAACCTGAAACCAAAGTTTTTCTAGGTTAAGCTTATACGTTCTTTACCTTAATCATGTCCATGTTTAGCACCGTTTCTCCTAAAGCAAGAAACAAAGTACAGGAACACAAACTAACTTTTGTTAGTTTATTTGACGTCC